GGACAGCGCAGCGGCGGCGTCAACAGAGTGGAAGTTTACGTGAGTACCTTCCTTTTAAGAGTATCCCCAAAAACTTACCTCCTTTACCTTCTTCTCCAGCGCCTACCTCCTCAAAAAGGACGAGGTAGAGGCGGCCGAGGCGGCCCTGCCCTCCTTTCCCGTGCCCGACTACGCCGCCGCAAAGGGCGTCGTCAAGCACGCCCTGGCGGCCATCGACTCCGCCAAGCGCTTCTTCACCCTCTCCGAACGCGCCTCCGACCACGTCGACCTCGTCTTTGACCACTCCTCGGTCTTTGGCAGCCTGGTGCCCTTTGAGCCTTCGCTGGAGAACCGCTGCAAGATGGTCAAGCGACGCATTGACATGCTCGAGGCGCTCGCCGGCGAGCTCAATCCGCAGTACTTTCTCGAGCACTGTCGGAAGATCCACTACGAACTGGGGGACATCTACTCGCAGCAGGTCGGCCTCAAGTACATTGCCAACGAGGCGATCTTCGCCAAGATGGTAAGTTCAAGTTGTGGGGCTTCCAAACAAGCCAAGTAACAAAACATCTTAATTTCCCTCTAAACAGCAGCAAGAGGGCGAGAACGCCTCCCTCTCAAAGGAGGAGATGGAGAAGAACCTGCACGCCATGAAGAAGATCAACGCGCTGGTGGTGAAGGCCATCCAGCACTACTACGTCTTTCTGCGCAGCTTCGAGGTGCTGAACACCGCCCTGAAGAATCCCAGCCTGCGAATGAACGACCCACTGCCGCCCTTTGAGAAGCTGGAGATGTTCCCGCTGCCGGGGCGAATCGACGAGACGGTGGGCGGGAAGGAGACGGTGGCCACCACCGCCGGCTACCTGCAGGCCATCATCACCGCCTACCTCGCCATCGGCCGCCTCTACATCAAGCTGGTCACCAGTCTGCCGGCGGACCGCGTCCGCTACTGGCTCCAGTGCGAGAAGTACTACAAGGCGCTGCGGGAGTACCTGGCCCGCAATGAGGACCAGCGGCGGGAGCACTTCAGCGAGTACTGGACGCAGCTGGAGGAGATGCTCGCCCTCATACCGGGCAAGATTCAGTCCATCCTCTCGCAGAGTGTCTTCTGAGAGCTGGGGGCTCATTAGGAGAGAGAATGTAGTCAAAGGGAGGAGGGCAATAAACTCACAGAGTCGTCTCACTTTCTCACACGCCTGCTTAATGAGGAAGGGTGGAGGAGGTTAATCGACTGACTCTGTCTTTTTCGTAAAACAAACGGGCGATGACACTGCTGCTGCTGCTGCTAATGAGCTAAAGGTAAACAAAGTAAACCAAAGGTTAGAGAAAGAGAGTTCAGTTAGTAACCTGCGGGAAGAGCTGCGCATACCTTTTGAAGAGAAGCAGAAGCAGTTGCTGATTAGCATTTTTCCACACACTCTAAAGCGAACCCGAAAGTAAAGCACAGGGAGAAACCGTAGTAATCCTGGCGCAAAGTCATTCTTGAAACAAGATGTTATTATCATTACAGTAAAGAGAGACAAGTGTGGTGGTGGTGGTGGTGGTAGTAGTTGTTGGATGTTGTTGGTGTTGGTGTACTTTTTGAATGTTGTTGTTGCTGTTGGTTTGTGGTATTCTGAAGAAAGACGATTCCGAAGGTGCCACAGAGAAAACAGAGTGAGAAAGTGAGAGAGAGAAAGAAGAAGAAAGAAGAAAGAGGAGGAGACGAAGAAGGGGAGGAGGGAGTGGGAGAGGATCTTGGACTCGAGTTACCACCAAAACGAGAGCCGATTGTTGTGTGTGAGGGTGTAAAACTTGCTTAGACTTATCCGCTGATGTTGCTGCTGCTGCTGTTGATGTTGCTGATGGCGGCGGTTATTCCGGCGGTCACTACTGCAGCCGTAGTGAGTTGTTGTTGGTGTCGTCCCCAATCACACACACTGTTGTTGTTCACCGTCTACCCAGCACACCGCCCTACGCATCGCCCCCTGCACGCGCCCACACACTACATCGCATACTTCCGAGTCCACTCTCGCGCTAGCTCGTTGTACTTGTCCCGGTCAGTCTTGTAGATGCGCGCAATCTCCGGCACCAGCGGATCGTCTGGATTCGGATCGCAGAGTAGTGAACAGATGCTGAGCAGTACCTTGCTGATGGTCAGCGCCGGACTCCACTGACTACGTAGTATGTCCAGACATATACTGCCGTTACTGTGGTGGGGGAGAGAGAGTTTGTTAGTAAAGCAACGTTTGACAAGAGATCTCTTCTTCCTGACTTACCTGTTAATGTTCGGATGATATATGCGCGTCGTGAACGAGACTTTCGGAGGCTAGAGAGGGTAGAGAATAGAGGTAAACAAAGAGATGATTAATTAGTGTTGGCCAATTAGAAACGACTAGTCTCCTAGGCAGACTGCCTGTCTGAGGCAACTGGGTGTCGCCCAGCAACGCCAGCTAGACTAGGGTAGCGCAGTCTGCATCCTCTGAATTCATGGTGCGTCCTTACTTTGAACGGATAGTCCGTTGGGAAGTGAATGGTGAGGAAGAAGACGCCACCTTGGTAGGGAGAGTCAGGTGGTCCCATGATCGTCGCCTGCCAGTGAAACAGATCGTCGCCGACCGGACCGGCGCTGCATTGTGCGGGTGGGTCGCGCTTCAGGTCTTCCAGTTCTTTTCGGATTCTTTTGAGAGCCATTGCTAAGGTGTGTGTGAAGGGGGGTGGTGGTGGTGAAGGTGTGTTTTCGTAAGGTTTTGCAGCGTTTGCAGAGATGCAGTACCAGCAATGAAGCAGGAGAATGTTGCGGCGATAGTTGAGTTGAGTTGAGTAGAGTTGCGTGACGCACACACAGAGCGCGTGCAGACAGAGGAAGAGACCAGAGTGAGAGAGAACGGAGAGGCGAGGAAGAGAGGAGAGAAAACAGAGAAAACAGAGAGTTAGAAGTGAAAGTTAGACGCCTGTGAAAATGATGCAGAAGGCGAGGAGCAGAAAAGTCTTTACCAAAGAGTGAGATGTGTGTTTGGAGAAGGACCAGAGAGGTGGTGGAGGAGGAGGGTGAGGGCGAGGAAATGACCAGAGATGCTGGGATGCACAGCCGGGTCAAAGGTGCAGAATCAGAGAAGGGGAGAATGAAAGAAGGGAATAAGTAATGGAGGTGGTGTTGGGGAAACAGATGAAGAAGAAGAGTACGGCTCGGCAGAGCACACACACAGAGCTCAGAGATCTTCGGTACGGCAAGATTCAGTCGCCGCTGCTGCTCACAATGGCAAGAGAAAGAGCGAGAGAGGAGCCAACACACTGGCAAGGGAAAGAAAGAAAGAGCGAGCGATAGGACAACGTCGCTCAGCGAAGAGGAGAGGAGAGGCACAGGCGCAACGGACAGACGAACAGACAGACAGGCAGTGGCACTGCCGGAGGAAGGCAGAGCGGCGGCGGCGGCTGCGGTGCTGCCACCTAAAGACTGGTCACAGCAGCAGCCTACTCCGCCACTGCTCCCGAAACAAATTCCGTACATCGTTCGGCGACGGCAGCAGCAGCTTCGGGTGGAAATATCCGGTGAAGTGCAGTAGAGCAGCAGCAGCATCGATCCAGATTCTGCTTCTCTCTCTCTCTTCTCTATTCCTCTGGTCAGCAGCCTCGGTGACGTCAATGGTGCGCCACGGCGACCACCACGGCCATCACCACCACCACCACCACCACCTGAATCAGCAGCTCTCACGGCGACGGTAATTCCCTTACGAGGGCACGCGCGCATGTACAAGTGTGCTGCGACGAAGTCAGCAATTCCCGACAAGAGACCGACGATGAGAAAAAAAAGTTGAAGAGAAAGAGATGCCACCGATTCAGAGTCATAGGTAGTGAGAAGAAAGGTAAAGACAGACAACTCAGCTACCTCGGTGTCATCGCACTACCACCACCACAATAGAGCAACAATTACCGAAGAAGTTCCGGCCAAAAACGAGCTACCTCTCTCTTTCATACTTTTACTAAAAAAGAAGAAAAATTTCGCCACCGTCTTCACAGCAGCAATTACCAGTTCAAAGAGCGGGACCACTTTATGAAAGGCTGATGCTGCAGCTGCTGCTTTTGATCTTTCTCAAAAAACAGATAGACAGAAGATAGTTTCCCCCAACACCACCACCACCACTGCAGCTTCCAGACAATTCTCGGAGCTGTCAAGGGGAGCAGAAGTAGAAGGAAAGAAAAGAGCTGCCAGTCTTCTCCCGTCTGCATCACAAAGACAGGCGGCAGGCACCCGACGACGGCTGCCAACAGTTGTGGGGTGAAGAGCTTAGCTCCCTTTCCTTCTCTCACCAGGCAACTAGCAAGTGATGATAAAATAAAAGCAGGCCACACCGATCGGTGAACAAACACACACAGCTCCTAGAGGCAAGGGCAAGCTAACCAGAACGACTAGAGTGTAGTGCTGTTTCTTCTTGCCTGGCGGCAAAGGAGAGAAGAGAAGAGCAAGGGGAGCTCACGTGGGTTGATGATCATTGCACTGCTGCTGCTGAGCCAGCCAAGGAGGACGGTGGTGCAAAAGTGGAGACGACTACGATGATCATCACCATCACCGATGGCAGACGACACACACAAGTCTGCCAGGAAGAGTATGATGGTGATGGACAAAGGGGGATAATTCAAAGGAGGGAGGGGGAGGAGCAAGGTATCCAGGTTACGAGGCATTTAGAACTACTTGTCATCACCCCAGTCATCAGACCAGAAAGACGGGGAGGAAATGGTGGAATCGACACTAAGCAAACAGAATTCGAAATTCTCAATGAAAGAGAACTGATGAGCATGTCTGCCGTCGTCCACAGCAATCAATCACCTTTCGGTCACTTTCACCGTTGACTCCCATGGCCATCGATTGCGCCTGCTGTTCCCTCTTCTCTTCTCTTTCTCCTTCAGCGTCCACAGGTAGTGGTACTAGGCAATAGAAAGAAAGAAAGAAAGAAAGCGCAAGCGTCCTCCACCACCTCGAGGCTCGAGCGAGGAAGTGAGCGCTCGCGGTCTTCTCTTCAGTGGAAGAAAAGGTAACAGCGTGAAAGATGTACCGGGAG